AGCAGAATATATTTAAATATATTTTCATAATGCAAATATAAGTATAACTACTAATGTCAAATATCAAGGCATAAACATTATAACGCAAAGAATATCATTAATTTTTCACAAATAAACATAAATATAGCTATGATGTTCATGGAAACCGTAATAGTATCAATGGCTACGACTAATGTTAAAGCTCATAATCATATTTAACTCTCATTGTATGAATAAAACATATTTTCTTATGTTAGAACTCATAAATAACTAATTTCTAAAACATATTATAATGTATAACTTCCATTTGTGTGGCTTAGATCATAACCATACTGATCAAATAATTATCATGTTACTTAAAATAATATATCAATGACTTTTACAAAACTAGAAGTTTTAACAAATCCTTTTTAAATCATTTTAAAATATGATGCAATCATATATTATTTAAAATAAATAAAAAATAAAATATTTTTCAATCATTTTCAAATATAATGTTGGATAGATATTAAAATATAAATTCTGATAAGATAATTTAAAAATAATTATAAAACAAGATAATAAAGCATGTGTTCTTCTAAATTATAAATATTTATTTTTTTAATACTTTTAAATAACAAAGACTTAAAAAGATCATGTAAATCATATGCATTTATCAATTTCAAACGTATGTATTAATACTTTCAAAAATAGGTTAGATAGAGTTATTAGATACTTTCGTTGATCGCATCTTTTCTTCTCTTATTCTTTCAATAAATATCATCATTTTTCTCCTTCTTACTTTCTTTCCCACATAAATATCTAATTAATTAAAAAATATCTAGATTAATAAGATTATAAGAAAATTTAAAATCATACCTCATATAATTTTCATGAACTTATTTGAATCCATTCTATGTCAAATCGAATCATCCATAGTTTTCTCTTATTTTTTATTTTATTTTCTTTCTTTCCTTTCTTTTTTCTTTTTCTTATTTTCCCCTTCTTCTCGTTCTTTCTCTTTCTTCCGGAGGCCTTTCCCCCACCTCAGTCTCTGCCCATCCTCTTCTTCTTCGCTGATTGCTTCTTCTTTCCTTTTTCTTTTCTTTCTTTTTTTTCCCCCTCTATTCTTCTACTGATCTCGCAGCCAGATAGCCTCTATTATAATCTTTCTTCCTTTCTCTTCCTTTTCTTGCTTTCGATTTTTCTTTTTTTTTATTTACAACTAGGTCCTCAATTAAAATTTTGGCTACTAAATCTATTATCCTTTTCTTAGCTATATTCCAAGTCCTAAACACACTTGTGAAGAAGGATAGATGGCATGACATTTGGAAGCTCATCCATCATAGACTGACTTAATATCATGATCACTGATTGTCTTATTTTAATATCAATCAAATCTATTGAATATATTTTCTTTTTTTTTTAATGTCATTTTATCTTTCAGTATGGACACTTGAATCTTTAAATTTGACTACTATTTTGATTGGATTAATGGTTCCTAGATGAAGGAGGGGAAAGATTGCCTCATGTGGGAGTTTTTGGAAGCTCAGAAATGATTTTTTTTTTTGTCAAAACAGTAGGCCTAGTGGTAATTCCATGTGAGCTAAAGCTTTGGGTGATATTAGTTTTTATGTACAAACTTGAAGGGATACAAACTTTTGTGTGGAGACCACCTCCTAATGGTGTTATTAAATTTAACACTGATGGATTCTTTTTTGGAGATGGGAGGCATAGGTTTCATGGCTAGAGATGCTAATGGAGTTTATATTTTTGTTAGGCATCGAGGATTCTTCTTCAACTTATCAATTTTCTCCTTCTTACTTTCTTTCCCACATAAATATCTAATTAATTAAAAAATATCTAGATTAATAAGATTATAAGAAAATTTAAAATCATACCTCATATAATTTTCATGAACTTATTTGAATCCATTCTATGTCAAATCGAATCATCCATAGTTTTCTCTTATTTTTCATTTTATTTTATTTTTTCTTATTTTCCCCTTCTTCTCGTTCTTTCTCTTCCTTCCTTCCGGAGGCCTTTCCCTACCTCAGTCTTTGTCCATTCTCTTCTTCTTCGCTGATTGCTTTTCTTTCCTTTTTTTATTCTTTCTTTTTTTTCCCCTCTATTCTTCTACTGATCTCACAGCCAGATAGCCTCTATTATACTCTTTCTTCTTTTTTCTTCCTTTTCTTGCTCTCGATTTTCCTTTTTTTTTATTTACAACTAGGTCCTCAATTAAAATTTTGGCTACTAAATCTGTTATCCTTTTCTTAGCTATATTCCAAATCCTAAACACACTTGTGAAGAAGGATAGATGGCATGACATTTGGAAGCTCTTCCATCATAGATTGACTTAATATCATGATCACTGATTGTCCTATTTTAATATCAATCAAATCTATTGAATTTTTTTTTTTTAATGTCATTTTATCATTTCA